TATATTTGCCCTCTACCAGACTCCTGTACCCCTCTGGTCTGGGTCTGTCACAGTGGGTTAAGGCAGATCATTAGCTTTATACAAAATTAACTGTATTACTTCATTAGTTAGCATGTGCTGAAATAGAAATAAAAGTTAAGGAAGCTCTTAGGCCAGCAGTTCTCAACCAGGGGTATGCGTACCACTGGAGGTATGTAGAGGTCTTTCAGGAGGTACATCAGCTCATCCAGATATTTGCCTAGTTTTACAACAGGCTACACAAAGTGCACTTAGCAAAGTGAGTACAGACTAAAATTTCATACAGACAGTGACTTGTTTATGCTGCTCTATATACTTTACACTGAAATGCAAGTACAATATTTATATTCCAACTGGTTTATTTTATAATTGTATGGTAAAAATGAAAAAGCAAACACTTACTCCATAAGTGTGCTGTGGCACTTGCAATTTTATGTCTGATTTTTGCAGGCAGTTAGTTTTGCAGTTAAGTGAAACTTAGGGTACTCAAGACAAATCAGACCCTTGAAAGGAGTACAGTTGTCTGGAAGGATTGGGAGCCACTGTCTTAAGCCAAATTTGTCAAAATGGACTAATTATTTTGTGTGCCTCAATTTTCAGGTGCCCAATATGAAACACTGTTTCACTGGGTTGGGTATGAGATGTCTGCAGTTCGCTAACAACAACAACAACAACAAAAAACAGTAGTGTTTACTTGCTTGTGGAAGTTTTGTCCTTGAGCTCTTACAGCAGCAACAGTGGAGTTATTCTGGCCTCAACATTTGGTAGTTGAGGGAGGAAGGAGCAGGGGGAACGGGGTTGTTCCTTTATTTCAGAAAAAGTTAAATTTACAAGGACATTTAAGACAGAGTTCAATTTTAGAAAATACTAGAGAAGCTTTAATAGCTGTTGCTTGTTAAGAGTATGAATTGTCAGGTTTCCAAAATAAGTAGCTCCTAGATAAAAGTAGGTACAAAATACAAGTATTCTGGATTATGTTTTCTTGAGACTTGAACACACACAAATGAAAACTGAGGCAATAATCCCATTTTATTGATACTTTAAGATAGCTACATCGTGCAATCCTTTTAGACATTCAGGTTGTGGAATATAACATAAAGAAACTTGTCTACAGTATTACATATTCAAATTAATCTTACTAGTTCAGGTTTTCAACTAACCATATCTTATAGATCCCTTAACACTATATAAATCAATTAGCAAAAAATCTGCAGTTGACACTGGTTTTACTTCATGGCAAGTGGAAAATGCTTTCCAAGAAGCAAGCATTGCTTACTTGTGAACACAAATGGAAGAGTTTAAAGGATGAAACTTCAGAAAACAATTCTCTCCGGTCAGGAGAACTAAGGAAGGATTATAGCACTATTTCTTAAAGACTTGAGTTTGCCCCCATTACCTGGTTCTGATGCCATCTGAAGTGTTGTAGATATGAATGTAACCTTTATTTCTTTAATAGAACAAACAGTTGTGCCAGCCTTGATTTGGGAAAAAAAGAATTGATTTCAGTCTCTGCCTTAAATCGAAGGATGATGATGATCCTGGTAAATTGGGGTTGTTAAAACCTCTATCCTTTTTCCTTTATAGGGTGAAACAAATTTTTTTCACTTCAGGTTGAACTTCTGGATCACTAAAATCATAATCTGAATTCCTTTTGTTCATTACACTGCTGACATCATTCTCTTAAAAGGAAATTAATAACCAAAGAACTGCACAACATAATTTAACCTTGGAGTCCTTCACCGTTCCCCACTTAAGCTGTTGAGGTTCTGTTAACACAGTCAACGTTTTGGGGAGAATAATTAAAATCAATAACTTACTTTTTGCTAACTTAGCACACAATGTATAGTTTTTCATTCTTTACGAGTTTGCTTCAATGCACTGAACAATTTTAATATTTAATAAAACTTGAAGTAAAAAGTGAAGATACTGTTTGTCCTTCGGCTGTATTATTCTTATCTTTGGCTGAGAAATTGGTTAGTGGTTTGTTTTATTTTGGTTCTGGTGTTTTGTGGTAGATAATATCCTCCATGGATGAGATAAAACTGGTTGGAAATAGTAAACTATAAAATGTACATAAACTGAAAGGAACTTCTCCATTCTTTCAGAAGAATTAATGGTTTTTTAAAATTTGACTGATTGCTTTTGTGCTACAAAAACAGTTCCCCACTCTGCTTATCGTATAGCCCAAAATGAATACACAGAAGCCAATTCAGAATTAGTTGAAAAACTATCATCTGTATTGCAAAAGTACTTTATAATTGCTCAAACTTCTTAGAAATGTAAGAATGAAAAACTATTGTCTGTTAGTAGAGAACAACATATTTACATGTTCATCAACTTGGCTTTCTTATAAACCCTCTACTGATTTAGCTTGCATTGACATTCTTTGCCTTTTCTGTGTCTTGTCTACCCCATTCCTCTTTCCATTAGATCCTACTACTACTACTACACGACCACCCACGGTCCCATGGCATCCTTCGACTGACGGCATCAGAGGTTTAGCAACAGAACCAAAACTAATGCATTTTCCAACATCAACCTTGTCTTCCAGCATTGCTGGCAATTGGGGTACCATCATCACTAGTGCAGTGGGTGGGACTCTCTTTCTGATACTTGTAAGTGTTTTGGTTGGAATTATCTGCTATAGGAGAAGACGGATGGTGCGTCGTTACTACTTTGCTAGGAACTACATTTTACCATCAGATATGCAAGAAATGTCTCAAATAGATGTTCTCCAATCAGATGATGTGGACTCTTATCCTGACAGTATAAAAAAAGAATAAAACATCCAGTGAACAGTTTAATAGCAAAAGATTATTTAGAAGACCCAGACAATCCAGAATGGAACAATGTAGACAGTATTAACGGATCCCAAGAACGGTATGAAAGACCAATGGATTATTATGAAGGAGGAACACTGGGAATGCAGTACATGGGTGGTAAATGTTATGATGACAATGAAGAAGACTTTGTGTCACATGTAGATGTCTCAGTAATATCCCAGAAGGAGCGACATGTGTAGTAACCACTGATACAGTTCCATTCATTAGTTGATCACTTTCAGGTTGTTTATATTTTTACTTGAGGAAAAACAAGCTTTTTGAAGTTGATTTTCAAGCTTTTGATATTGTAAAAATCTGGGTTAAATGTATCTGAGCTGCTTTATGATTTTTCAATGCTGTACTACTGTCTTTGAAAATATTGGAATGTTGATACATTTTGCTTTATTCGTCTACTGCACATGTAAGAACCAAGTGCTAATTAAGTTACCATACAACAATGTTAGAGTGAAAAAGCAGCTCTCTTGGCTTTGTGATTTAAAAACAGTTTACCTGAGACTATGATCAAGTATGATCAAGCACATGTTTTTTTTATATATATATACACATTTTAGACAAAAAACGAGTGAATTCGTCTCAAAGCTGAAGTTAATCTAAGGTAAATTCAATTCTTAAAAGTAATTTTTACTATAAAAAACATGGATTTGCTTAAATCTGTTTTTTTCAAAGGTATGTTTTACTTTTCTACACAAAAATGAATACCTCTTTGTTTTAATGAGCCTTCCTGTAATGCATAGTTAGTGGTAACTTTTTTTTAAAGAAAACATGTTGCATTGAAAAAGTTAGAATTCTCAATGAAGGCGTTTTAGAGGAATAACAATGAATATATGGAAAGTTTTGTCTTGTAGCTGATTTTTGAGAACCATTTTTTTACATTACAGTTCATTTCCAAAAAGTATTATTATAGTCTATGTACAGGATTAGTCAGTTATAGTCCTGGAATTCACATGAGATCAAAACCGGATTCTTGAACTTAAGAAGAGAATTGTCAACTAGAAATAAGATGATGCCAGGAAAGTTTTTACTGGGGATTGGGAAATACAAGGTTAGGTCTCATTTCAGATACAAATTCTAAGTGTATGGGGAAAACAGATGGAGTTAATGTAGCTAAGATATATAAGTTTAAGATTTTAGCAGAATACAGCATAACATGGTGTGCAGAACATAAAAGGTAAAGGGAACATTTTTACAGTGCTCTGTGATTACATCATTGCTTTTAAGAGTTGAGCATACTTTAAAAAAGCATATTTATGAAAAGGGGTTAATGTAAATAAGTGCTGTTTAAAATAAAGCAAGTAGGGAAATAAATATTGCTATTTGATGCTGTTGAAAAATAATTTGTACAAGAATCCCCAGGATTCCCAGAACAGCAGTTGTATGTATTACTCAGTTGGGTTTGTTTGTATTGCATTGGTTTGCTTTGTTGCAAATAAACAAATGGAACTGTTGACTAAAACAGTAAGCAGTCTTGTAGCTAGGAGAAGCAGATGGTTACAAGAAATGAAATTGCATGCTTGGAAGTCAATTTCAAGAGCTGGAACAACCTTGCCTCTCCTTCAGTAGTAGGTTCACTACCTCATCTTTGCAAATGAATAGAACGGAATCTGAATGAAATTAATTCAGGTAATCCAGTTTGATGGCAGTTAAATTGTAAAAATTAGAGGTGATAAATAGTTCTGTGGTGAAATCCTATTTTAAGGTCTCAACTTGACATGCATTCATGAGTTAAACTCTTACCCAGGAAAACTTGTCTTAATGTTGAAGTCCAGAAATGAAAAAAACTTGGCCAGGGGCAGAGGGAAATATTGTCACACAAATAAAAATTTAACAAGCTTGGACCAGAATTTTAAGGAAGCTTAATGACTACTTTTTTGAATGTTTCCTTTAGTAGTAAAAGCACTGCAAAATGACAGTATTTAGAGCTTTACAACAAATACAGTATTTGTATTAGACTTTTGACAGTTTGTGATTCCAAATGACTGAATGTCTTACATGGTTATTAATACTTGCAAATAAAAATAGGCATTTATCTAACAAACAATTCCTGAGTGGAGGTTTTCATTCTCTTAAGTGTTAGTGATGTCACTAACGGTAGCAATAAAAGGAAAGTAGCTCCCTGCTATATGTGTTAGTAAGGTACCTTGTAATCACCTAGAAAAATTATGCTCATCTTAAGCCTTGGCAAAAATAAGATGGAGTAATGACAGGGCCAGGAGGGTCATAGTTTCGAGCCACCAAGCTGCAAAGTCCCCAGTAATGTTTGTCTGAAGCGGTGTATGACTGTATCCATTTGAGCAGTGTCCAACAGCTTTGGGAGCTGCTTCATCAGAAGGCATTTTCTATCTGTGTGTAAGGATCTGTAGACTTCCATTCTTCTCATGTATACCACTGATCCTTCTGGCCAAAGGAGTGAAGAGCCTAGATGCCAACTCAGCTGTTTGCTCCCCCACGTCACAATGAAGAAAACAGATCAATTGTGTACACTTCTGGCTTGGAGGGGGATAGTTCCATTGCACCCTTCCCAGAGTGAGTAACCTTCTTGTACACATAGAGACACTTGCATAGTCTACTAAGGACCATTGTGCTAGCCAGAGTGACCACAGGTGCATGGGATTCTTCCATCCTAAGTGCAAGACTCTGTACTTGTCCTTGTTGAACTTCATCAGATTTCTTTTGGCCCAATCCTCCAATTTGTCTAGGTTACTCTGGATCCTATCCCTACCCTCCAGCATATCTACCTCTTCTCCCCAGCTTAGTGTCATCTGCAGACTTGCTGAGGGCGCAATCCATCCCATCATCCAGATCATTAATAAAGAAGATAGTATGCTTTTACAGATGATTTATAGAGCTGAGGTGGAAGAAAACAGAGCATGAGGCTGACCATGAATGAGTTTGGAAGCTACATGAATCTCTGGGGTAGTACCAGGCAGGGTCAGGGCATGCATCCCTTCATATGTTGATGGAAGGTTTGTATGTGTGGAGTGCTAAAGTATTTTTGTCCATCCTAGTGACATGGCCAAAAGGGCATCCAACATCGCTTTTGGAGATTGACTGAATGGGAGCCTGATCTTTCTGAGGCTGACATTTATATTGAGGATTAGGCACTGACCACACATATGGCATGCCTCTAGCCACTTTGAGTCTGCCTGTATGAGTCTGCAGGTTCCTGACCTATAGAAAAATGATAGAGCCTGACTTTTGTCTCAGCACAAAGGTGTTTTTGCATTCATAAGTGAGTCAAGACCAAAGAATATCTGGCTTGTTACAACCATTTGAATTCCGCTTGCAACCTAGGTAGATGAATTCATCAATGCTCTCCACAGTACTCAGTCCCACCTCACTAAGGGTTCAGGGTCTGGACCTTGGTCTTCTGCCATGATAGTCAACCCTGTAGTGCGGGAAGCATCTTGGAGACCGTGGCGGATAGGACTGTATTTCTGACTTCTTCACGAGCAAGGTGGTGTCATCGGTGTAATTTTTTATTGGTAAACACTTCTTGACCAACCTTGGTTCTGATGTGTGGAGTAGCAAGTCCAGTATCAGGTTGATAGCTTGACAGAATTGTGCTGGGGCAATGTTTGAATCTCTGCCTCACTCCTGAGGTTGTGCAGAAATGTAGCAAAAACCGTGAGCAAAAACATTTGGAATGCCCACTCTTTTCTGTGCTAGCCAAAGTGCAGACTTGTCAACTGGATCAAAAGCCATTTTGATGTCTTCTTATGCCAGATGAAGTGAGCAGTTAAATTCTAGGTGATGGTCAGCCAGAAGCTGGAGAGTAAGGCAAGATCCATTGTTGACCACCTTGCAGTGAAACCTGATTGTTCTAGATGACTGTTTAAAGGGTGGTTGCATCCTACCAAGCAGAACATGAGCAAAGACCTTTGCTGGGACAGATAATGAGATTGGTCTGTAGTTACCACACTCAGTATGAGATCCTTTGCCCTTGTCCAAGGACACTATGATGCCATCTTTCCATCCTGCTGGTATTTTATTTGATGCCTACACTTTAAAGAACAGTTGATGCTGGCAAATGCTTGCTGGTACTGGTTTGAGCAGCTCAGGTCCAGCAGTACCTCCTTGTACCCAGGAGATTCAAATATGTGGACAAGGGTGATCCAGTAGATATACCTGGAGTTTCAGAAGGTCTTTAACAAGGTCTTTCACCAAAAGGTTCTTAAGCAAACGAAGCAGTCATGGGATAAGAGGGAAGGTCCTCTTATAGATCAGTATTAAAATATAGGAAACAAAGGGTAGAAATACGTGGCCAGTTTTCAAAATGAAAAGAGGTAAATAGCGGGGCCCTCAAGGATCTGTACTGGGACCAGTGCTGTTCAATATATTCATAAATGATCTAGAGAAAGGGGTAAACAGTGAGTGGCAAAGTTTGTAGACAATATAAAAATACTCAAGATTGTTAAGTCCAAAGCTGACTGTGAAAAGTTATGAACGGATCTCACAAAACTTGGTGACTGGGCAACAAAATGGCAGATGAAATCCAATCATAGAATCGTAGGACTGGAAGGAACCCTGAGAGATCTTCTAGTCCAGTCCCCTGCACTCATGCAGGACTAATGATTACCTAGACCATTCCTGACAGGTGTTTGTCTAACCTGCTCTTAAAAATCTCCAATGATGGTGATTGCACAACCTCTCTAGGCAATTTATTCCAGTGCTTAACCACCCTGACAGGAAGTTTTTCCTAATGTCCAATCTAAACCACCCTTGCCGCAATTTAAGCCCATTGCTTCTTATTCTATCCTCAGAGGGTAAGGAGAATAATTTTCCTCCCTCCTTCTTGTAACAACTTTTTATGTACCTGTCACGGACTCACAGATCATGCCCACTCTTGGCCCTGTGCGGTCCGTGGGGAGTGCCCCTGTTAGTGAGACAGCCCTTCTCGGGGGTCCACTCTCTCTCGGGGTCAGGCCCCTCCACCTCCTGGAGCTGCACCTCTCAGAGCCTTAGCACGCCTGTTTCTCGACGTGGGCCCCCTCAGGGAGTCCACTCACTGTGGACCCCCCAGACCTTCACCCCCGAAGGGGTTGATGCCACCCTGTTCTCTAGACCGCAGTGGCTCTCAGCCAGCATAAAACAGGAGGATTTATTGAAAGTTGAACACAGCACAAGAAACTCTCAGGGCCTCAGGCCTGGCCTCCCTCAGCCCAGCACATCCCAGTCTCTCTGCATCCAGGTGGGCTCTGCCTGCTCCCCCTCTCCAGCCCAGAGCCCCCCTGCTTCCCCAGCTGGGCATCTGAGATCACCGGCTCCAGGCCCCGCCTCTGTCCATTGTCTTCTCTCCAGGTAAACAGGGTCGTAAGCCGGGGCCTCCTCTCCTTGCTTCTGTCCTCTAGCTGGAACCGGCTGGTTAGGTCACTGGGTCCTCACTCTGCAGCCCATTGTCCGCCCACTGGCCAGAACCGGCTGTGGGTCCTTAGCTGGGCCTCCAGGTCGCCAGGTCACTGGTCGTTGGGGTATCCATCCTCTCGGCCATCGGCTGGGTCCCCAAGTCCTCTCTCCGGTCCTCTGCAAAACAAACTCCCTCTCCCCTCACCTCATTAAACCAGTAACACCCAGGGAAACTGAGTCCCACCCACTCTGCATGCAAACCATTGAAACTGCACAGAAAACAAGAAAAACCCCCACTTCGTCACAGTACCTGAAAATTGTTAGGTCCCCTTCTCAGTCTTCTCTTCTCCAGATTAACAAACCCATGTTTTTCAATCTTCCCTCATAGGTCATGTTTTTTAGACCTTTAATAATTTTTGCTGCTCTTCTCTGGACTTTCTCCAATTTGTCTACATCTTTCCTGAAATGTCGCATTTAGAATTGGACACAATACTCCAGCTGAGGCCTAATTCATGCGGAGTAGAGCGGAAGAATTACTTACAACGTGTCTTACTTACAACACTCCTGGCTAATACATCCCAGAATGTTTGCTCTTTTCTTGCCATAGTGTTACACTATTGACTCATATTTAGCTTGTGATAAATGTAATGTTGGTAAGTGCAAAGTAATGCACACTGGAAAAAGTAATTCCAACCATACATACAAAATTGAGTCTAAATTAGTTGTTATCACTCAAGAAAAATCTTGGAGTCATTGCAGATAGTTCTCTGAAAATATCCACTCAATGTGCAGCAGCAGTCAAAAAAAAAACTTAGTGTGTTAGGAACCATTAGGAAAGGGGTAAGTAATAAGACACTAAATATAATGCCTCTAGATAAATCCATGGTAAGCCCACACCTTGAATACTGCATGCAGGTCTGGTTGTCCCCTCTCAAAAAAGATAGATTAGAATTAAAATAAATACAGAGAGGGGCAAAAACGATTAGGGGGTATAAAACAGCTTGCATATGAGGAGAGATTAAATATACTGAGATTGTTCATTTTAGAAAAGAGATGACCTCAAGGGAATATGACAGAGAATTATAAAATCATGAATGGTGTGGAGAAAGTGAATAAGGAAGTATTATTTACCCCTTCACATAACATAAAACTATGGATCACCCAATAAAATTAGTAGGCAGAAGGTTTAAACAAACACAAGGATGTACTTCTTCACACAATGCATGCTCAACCTGTGGAACTTGGTGCCAGAGGATGCTAAGAAGGCCCAATGTATAAGTGAGTTCAAAAAAGTTCATTAATGGCTATTAGCCAAGACGGTCAGGGATGCAACCCCATGCTGTAGGTGTCCCTAAACTTTGAATGCCAGAAGCTGGGGCTGGACAACAGGATGGATGGATCATTCAATAAATTGTCCTGTAGCATTCATTCCCTCTGAAGCATCTGGCACCAGCCATTGTCGGAAGACAAGATTCTGGGCTAGGTGGAGCAGTGGTCTGACTCAGTATGGCCATTCATATGTTTTCACAACAGATTCATAAAGGGAATTGTGGTGGGGCGATTACCCCACACCCAGAGAGACTGGGCTGCGGCAGGCCTAGGCGCCTGCATAGACGCGTGGCCAA